ACTCAGCTGCATCTTTCAGAACAGCTCAAGGGGGCAACGAGAGGGCAAAAATGAGAGTGGCATACTTCCAGTGAAAAGTGTCAGACAAACACAGATTTACAAAAACCTTGCATGATGATGTGAAACGTGTCCTCTTAGCTAAACAAGGAGTCACAGATATATCATTAAAGGAACACTTCTCTGGTTTCACATGTGTGAAAAGTATGACTCAGCTTGTGATAACAGCTCTATTTCTGGCTGAGGAGGAGCTCTCGGGAGTAAAAGAAAACAACCCTAATGATGTCATACTGATGTCATCAGGGTTAACTTGGCATGGACTGAAAGATTTATTACAGAGTGACGTTGTTACAAAGTTAAAGGATTAAAGTTTGAAGATGTGAGCATTTATCAGGCAGGAAGATTGAAAGGAAATGCCACGTGTTGATTGTAAGATTCACTGTTTTATTGAATCTCTTTAAGTCTGGATACTGTTTCCTCTTCTACTTTCACATTCTTTAACCCTTGAAAAAAATATGTGGCTCTCACAGAGCCGAGATTATTTTTTGGTCTTTTTTTTGAATGCCTCTATGAAAGGTCAAGACAGTGGTTAAAGTTGGAAACAGGGATGTTGCGGTAAATAGTCCAGAATGGGAGTCGAACCACGGGGCCACAGCTTCAGGGGTATAACATCAGTACATGAGAAGCCCGATTTAACGACTGAGCTAAACAGGCGCCCCAAGTCCCTCAGACACAATCCCAAAGTAGGCCGTCAAACACCAAAGCTTTGAACAAGGGTTTGCCACAACATCTCATTCTGACACACGCGTTGTTGAGTTTGCCATCATACACACATCTAGAATCTGTTTCATTCCTGTCTAATACACCTATTTGGTGGAGCAAGTACAGCATGGTTATGGTTAGGTATACATTATGGTATAGGAGGGTTGTATGCAAATCCCAAAAAAAAGAAGAAGAAGGAGGAGGTAAGGAAAAACATCATTAGATCAGTTCTGTTCTAGTTTCCAACAAGACTTCAACTCTTGTCCATTGGATAAACTCCTGGGTTGTTTGACCCATCTATCACCCCACTTCCAAGTGGACCAATATTGCTGCAGATGGGCTCACATTTGATTTAATTTAAAGCCATGTTGCATATCATGCAAATGTTAAATTGCACCATATTTTTCTGCATGAGATGCTACAGGGCTGTGGCAAAGCATCCACTTACTCCTACCTTAAACCCCAAGCAGACCTTGGTGGTCTCATAGGAGCAGTTTCTCTACGGGGCCATTATTGAAGCAAATTAGCTTAGGTCACATTTACTTTGAATGCTGGTGTGTCTCAGCGTTGGTACAGTGTAAGAGGTCTTGGGAATGTAAACTTGCTGAGGTACTAATTTTAACTTGAAGTTCACCACCCAGAAAAACAGACGTTTCCCCTTAATCGCACTGTACAAGAGTAGTGAAGTAACACTGTCAATGATTATCCAGTTAACAAGGAGCACAGCAGGACTACCTCAGACTTTAAGTTGAAACATTTTCTCTGAGGGGTTTATTCAGAGCCAGTCTCAGAGGAGTCAGCCCAAAGAGAACTGACATTCGGTATGATTAAGTTGGTGCTATATGAAGCCCCGCCCAGAGATACGTTGAAATCCCTGCTGTACATTTCACCCTGCAACAAATTACTTCTGCCGAGCTGTATATCCCTACCCATCTCTGATTGAAGCATATAGTCTATATGTCCATCCTCTGGTATTTTCTCTGGGGGGATGAAGGGGAAGACAAGCAGAGGGAGAGACAGGCAAAGGAGAAAGACAGGCAGGGCAATAAGGACTGAGAGTGGGAGGGAGGAGAAGAGATAGAGTTATCCGTAGTCTCATTACGGTGGGAAATGTGAGGGTCCCGATCCAAGGGAATGATGAAGGACTCTGTGGAGGAGGCCTCTGAGAACCAACAAAGGCGGCTTTAGTTTCACTGGCAGAATGCATTTGCATAGCTTAGAAGCCAGAGCGTCTGAACCGGGGCTCATGAAAAGAAACCCCAGCAATTGGTTGGACATCAATGCAAACGAGAGGGAGGGAGCAAGAGATGGAGAGAGAGAGAGAGAGAGAGAGAGAGAGAGAGAGAGAGAGAGAGGGAGAGAGGTAAAAGTAGGATGGGAGAAAACGCAGTAGGGAACTTTTCCTCTTCAGTAGTATAACATGAAATGAGATCAGGAACATCTGCACATCCCATTGGAGATTGTCGCTGACTGACTTTGATGCAAAGGGAACATACTGAAGGCGGTACAAGCGGTGAAACGTCTCCACGCTATCACAAGAGTCATGTTCCATTGTGGCTGTTTGATATGTGCATGCAGTGCACTTTGGTTGTCAAAAAGAACATTAGAAATAAATGTCATTTGGGAATGTTTAGCAGCTTTGTACAAGCTTCACTTTGCTTTGTTGGACGAGCAGCAACTGGCCTATACGAAGACAAGCAAAGGTAAAGGTAATAGAGCAATCTCCTGGAGAAGAGTGTGAGTGTGTGTGTGGTGAAAGTGATGAGAAAGGAGAGACACACTTAAACAGAGTAAAAGACAAGGAAGAGAGAAAGAGTGGAGCAGATGTTGTACTTTTAGTGGTGCTTCTCCTTTTCCCCCCTCTGTGGCCTGGAGTCATGGAGGGATGACTAGCCTTCATCAATCCTCTTTAATGACTCTGGCAGCACCACTTAACAGACTAGTATGTGATTTCTTCATTACTACATCATGATTCCACCATTTATTCTGTGTGATCACGCGTACCAATGCTCTCAGATGAAAATAATGGGAGAAAGTTTCATTTTCGCAAACTGTCCAATCCATCTGCTCAGGGGTCAATTTGAAAATCGGGAACCAAAAAAGCTGACCAAAAGGGACTGAAGATATAACTACAGATTGACTTTAAAAAATAACAATATTAAAATCTTCATGAACTCCCTTTACAGAGATTGAATAAACCAAAGATTTCAGAGCTTGACTTCTATAAAACCTCTTGTGAAGTTTCACAAGTTTCCCCCTCTAAAGTTACCAGCACCTTTATATGTTCTCCTTTTTGCAGCCCTCATTTCATTCAGTCACACACCCACTGCCTTTCAGCTGTGGCGAACAATACTCAATTTTCCTGACCCTTAGTCCTTCACGTGTCACAACCTTTGCTGAATACAACTGAGAAGGAAACACAACAGGCATGCTAATGTTTTGACACTTTCAATAATAAATGTTGACTTTTGAACCTTGTCAATACATTTTCATGCAGGGCACCTCCCTGGAGAGGAACATGCTTTAAACATGAGGAACATACAGGCTGATTTAAAAGAGTATGAGTTTCAAGTTTGAGTTCATAAACCTCTTTACATCTTCAGAAGTAGTGACACACACAAAAAAAAAACACTGTAGTGATCCGACTGTGCTCGAGGGAATTTTCATTCTGCACAACATACACGCGCAAACATTGACAGTTTAATGCTCAAACAATTCCATCTGCTGCATCTGCTTCTCTCTCTTCTTCTGCTGCCGCTATACTAGTCCCCACATGCTACAACTCTCTATATGGCAGCTCCACTCCACATAAGGCATTGTGGGATATATGACTCCCTCTAATGAGCTTGCATCTTCATCTGCACCCATACATGCAGCAGAATGGACAGCTTGCTCGCACCAAGAATCTGCAGCGTTTGATCTGACATTCATGTGATCAGTTTTGATGTTTAGCTTTATGCACGTCTCCGCTGACTATGTGTACATCTTGGAGATGCTGATTCGGTGGATAAGGAGATCGACAATGATTTCTTTAGACATCAATATTTGATGAGTGGTTGTGCCCTCAGGCTTAAAGCGAAGCTGGAGAACTCCAAACAAACCTACGTACAAGTCTTACACTGCCAGCGAATGTTTTGAGGGTTGCAAATGAGGTACAAATAAAGGTAAATTATCCCTGCAACAGGTGTTTAAAGGAGAATTGTGGTAATATGAGTAACGCTGCACATATATGAGCAGTCATGCAGCAGTGGCCTCAACATCTGATGTGATTTATTATCCTATTTACCTTCTCCGTCTCGAGCAAAAAGAAAGCGATAAAATCCCTGTGCATCATTGGTCGGATGCAGCCCCATGACATGCTCACAGTAACCTTTCATTGCTATATCATCTCTACACACACACACACACGCACACACACACACAGTAACACAGATCTTTTTTAGTGCTCGGCAACAGCCTCTGATGCTCCAACCACCACCCTACAACTTGACCTCACATTCTCCCTGTGTTTTGGTCACTACCAAGAGGTCAGGGCTGAGCACCCCAAGGTTCCCTGCGTGACCCAATGTTAGTTCACACAAATCTTTATTTCTCCACAAAACACGCTGCTGCTGGCTGCTGCGAGGATGACAACTCATACGAGACATCATCTGTGCCACTGGTTGCACAAACAGACAGAAATGTGTGCTTGTCATTTTTTTTTTGTGTGTGTGTGTGTAAGGAAGGGAGTAAGAGGGAGAGAGGCTCAGACAGATGATCATTTTTCATGCCTTTGCATAAATGCCACTGCTCAACATATTACTGTCCATATGACATTTAAAGATACATTCGGCCTATTGTAAGACAAGAGCCATGCCGACCTTTCCAATGATTATAAATAAATAACATGTATGTAGGTGGCCAGACTGGGAAATCCAGTAGGTTCTGGTGTAATAAAAGTAGGAAGGTAGAATATTAATTTTAGCCCCCTCATAGACTGATGGATGACGGATTGGATAAGAAAAGGGGGCTGTGCATTATTGGCTTCAGATGCGATCTGCTGTATAACCTCAGGGTCGCTGACGACAATTAGAGCCCCTCACTTAAACATGGCTTCAGACATGAACTGGCACCCCCCCTATGCGTGAATGTTGCACTTATTTTCTTCCACGGGAATAAGTGTTGATTTAAGAGTCGCCACTGTTTTTACAAGGTCATGATCACATTTGCTTTTCAGCAGGATGCAGAATGCACACACTCACCGTACACTCCCTGGCAACGGATGCCCTCCACGATGAGCGACAGCAGCCCCCAAACACAGATAATTAGATCCATCCTCTCACGTTAATCTCTGCATATCCAGCTCTCAATGGCAAGAAGTCCTTTCCGGGGCGGTGTAACTGAGGTGCATAGGCACAGCAACTGATCCAAATCAACACTTCGACTAAATGAACTCTTCAATGTAAAGGTATTTATGGTTGCAGGAGGCAAACACACTCAGGTATTGATGGTTTTGATGTCCACTGCCATGGAGTCAGAGCGCGGAGCACTCGCGTCAGAGAGACGACGCTTGAGGATGCGGGGAGTGGGCTGCAGAGAGCCCGGCCTTACAGCAAATAGAAACTCCTCCTTGACTTTAGGTGGGCGCCCTTCTGTGATACTGACTGTGCCTTGACTTTAGCGAGGACCCCCGAGGCTCCAAACCGAAGGAGCGCCCTGATACTGTCGACTATAGGCAGATGGAGGCTCGGTTCCCGCGTGCATAGCTCCCGAAATCCAGCTGTGGTCAGGGCTCGCGCCGCTGATGCTGCGTTGACTTCCTGCTGCCAAACGATGCCATCACCTCCGCTTCACAAAAACACCCACAAATTCACACCGTATTCACCTTCCGGGAGTCTGCTGTGGTAGAGGCTCGTGCGCTCACACAGTCACATCACGACTGCACCTCGACGCCGCGCGCTCGACTCATCTCACCCGGTGGCGATGACGGAGGGAAGTGTCCTATAGCGGATGGGTTTCTTCACAGTTCCTTGGTGATGCCCGCTGTTTTCTCGGCGTTATGAAAACACCTTGTAACGATTTCACGCAACGGTGGGAGCCGGATGTGCCCACCGTGCAGCCAGTGGAGCAGTCACGTTGCGCAATACGTGCTACGGAAAACCGAGTGGCACCGCAAAACCGGTCTGTGGCTACGTCAAGAGGTGCGTGGCTTCAAGCGCTCATCTGTATGGGAGGCTTCGCTCAGCGTCAGGAAAGAAGGCATGAGAGGCGCAGCTGCTGGAAGCTGAGAGAGAGAGAGAGAGAGAGAGAGAGAGGGGAAGCATTGGAATTCAGGAGATCGAGCGCTGACAGACCTTTGCAATCAACACCAAACACACAGTCTCTCTTCCTGTCTGCTCATGTTTCACCGTGCCTCCTTTATCAGACAGGCAGGATGAGCTGCTGTCTGTCATGTAGCATTCATCTACTGCATCACACTTTTTTGGTTTGAAACAGAAAGATGTCTGTGTTAGTCTCGAGCAAACACTGCTCCTATAGGGCTGCAAAAAGGGAAAACTGTGTTTCAACTTTTTTTTTTTTTTGCAACATTTGGATATGGACATTTAAATGTTTTCTAGAGGTTCAGCTAACTGGCTCTCAACTGGCTCCCAACTGGCTCCCAACTGGGGTCCCAGTACGCCTTCAGGGGCCCTACTGGCACTTCCAGAGAGCTCTTGCAAAAAGTGGAAAATCCATTTCATTAAGTCCAATTCACCCACATATAGTGACCAGAAATACTCAAATTAAAGACATGCAAAAGTTACAGCTCTGACCTCAAGGTTTACCTCAGCATTGCCCTCAAAGCACCGGACTGACTAATAGAAGTGTACTCAAAGTGGCTCTATTCTGTGAATGTTCACTTTATTTTATATCTCACTTCAGTGTTTAGTTATATCAATACTGTTGGGATCTTAAACTTGGACTGCAGCTGTTTCCTAGCAACACAGTTTCCTTTAATTGGAAGTAATTAACATCATATTTTGCCTTTTAGAGAAGATAATGTATTTTTTGAGCATGATTGTCAGTGAGCAGTGATTCCTGCTGAAGAATAACACAGCTTTGTTTCTGAAGGTTTCTCATTGATGTCAAGGAAACTTACTGTATTAAGGAGAATGTTCATCATATATGAAGCTTACAAGTGCAGTTGGAGACCATCTGGAGTGACTGTTGGAGCTACATTGGGTAGTTTGGCGCCCTCTACAGGACACCATTAAATCTATCCATAATCATGGAGTCATGGGGGGGTTATACCCAGTTTGTGACCAGGCTATAACTTTGACTGTAATAGGCAGACTGTTTAAAATGGAAATAAAGATTACATCACGAGTATTTAATTGCCTCGTGAGATTTTGATCATTGTCATTCTGCTGAGAAGTTAATATCTGATCCTAAGATACAGTAAGGACCTCAGTGGAACTGGGGAGTAAAAATAATTTGGGGGAGTAAATATTTTATATATGCTATTCTAAATTTAATCTTAAGATATAAATGATTAATCTTGTCCATCCCTTTTATACTGTCATTAGTGTGATGGCCTTGAACATTGGAGTGGTGCTGTGAAGATAGAGGCTGTGGTATTTAACATGTTTCAGATCTTATTTTCTGGCCATACCTGCCCGTACTTTGTCTCAAGGTGTGTGAAGTTGAGAGCTCTATAGCTCTATCAACTCATTCATTCTGAATGTTTAACTCTCGCTGTCCCATCAGTCTCTCTGTGTGGGAATATATGTGCCAGATATTTGATTATTAAATTGGTTCTTTCATGGCAGACAAATACTAAAATAGCTACATTAAACAAGTCATTTAATTGCGATGGTCCACTTGAACCCGACTTATTTTGAAACCACTCTCTGGCTGAAGCAAGTGGATTAGTACATTTCTTTTTTTGTCAAAGTTTTGAAACAAATGGACTTTTACTGACTTTATCTCCATGACAAGGTAGCAAAAAAAAATCAGTATTAATGTACTTATTAGGCTGTCAGCGTTAATATGGAATAGCAGTTTGGACATGGATACAAGTTAGTTAAGTAAATACGTACACTATGAATACTTTTTCTCCATAGACTGTAAATAAGAGGTGGACATAGTCTCCTGGTTTCAAAATGCACAATTGCCTTAAATCTGCATTCTTTCTAATGGCCAGAAGTTGGCAACTCCACTGGTTGCAAAACTACGTTTGAATGTATTAAACAAGATGGGAATTTCCCAACTTCTAAGATGGTTACCTTAGAAAGCTGTCACCCAATGTCTTATTGTCTCAATTCCTAGTTTTCTTTAAGCCTTCAAGATGTATATTTTGTCAGGAAAAATGATGATAAAGCAGGGTGTGCTTTAGACCCTTGATTATAAGGTTCCATGATGTTGTTTGACTCGTTCTCAACCAGAAAAGAGATGTTGCCATTAGTATCCCTCAACTCATCCAAATACAGCCACTTCTGGCTCTTAAAAATGAAGATGGCAAAGGCCAAAATGATGAACACATTTTCAAAAATTGGATTTATAAACCAATAATTGACACAGTGGTAGCCACGCTTACTTCTATGATACAGTCCATTATTGTTTTCCACATATATTGTCCCTTTTCCACCACCTGCTTGCTACTTATCATATTGTTACCATTACATCAAACATCCAATATGGACCAGAGCGGGAGACCACAGGGAGAGCTTAGACTTTAACTCCCCATCTGTCTATTGTGAGCAGTCTGCTCTCTGCTCTACTCTCTCCCTCGCTCTCTTTCTGACTACACCTTCCCTGGTGGAATATAATGCAACCCTTTTTATAAAAGATGTCTAATGCTTCTAAATTGCACTGACATTGCAGGGAATGCAATTATAAAGCCTGTTGTGCTTACAGTGTCTGTATGTAGCATCATAAGCGAGGCCTATGAATATAATGTGTCTTCTCTATTTTACTTGGAGCTGTATGACATTTCACTAAATGTATTCAGTCTTACAGAGCATGACGTGTTGGATATGCTATGAAACAAGACAATTTGCCATTTGAAGAAACCTCTCTGGGCTTTATCGTCAAACCTAGGAGACCTTGATGATGTCACAGAACATAAGGCCATGGGCAGCAGGGAATAAGGGGGTGTATATCTGTGTTTATCAGAGAGAGGGTTATGGCTTTGGTGCAACATTCTGCTGGTTCTGGCTGGCATCACACATGAGCAAATTTCAAATGGAACAACATGTATTCTTCCATCTCGCTGCCTTTAAAGTCATAACGCAGCCAGTGGCCACCTGTAAGAGCAGTTCTATCGACAAATTTACCTCAAAGCTAGTTCACTATTTGCTTCAAAAATAATGCAGCGTTTGAAGCAAATTGCTACTCTAAATGTCTCTCTGATGAACAGGGAAGACTTTTCCTCTGGGACTTGTGAGATAGAAAAAACATAAGCCATCCATACTTTGAATTCAAAGATTTTTAATGCAACACTTATCGTTTCATCTTGAAGAGGCTTTAAACATGCTGCAAAAAACGGCCACATTTAGGGTTTAAAAACTCATAGGAGAATCTAATTTTAGGCCATCACTCAAACATTGAACATACCCAACGTCCTGCCAACCATGCATGGGTACCACATTGTATGACACAATCAAGCATCACCCCCATGTGCCACTGTTGACGAATGATTCACACAGAAAATAGGTCACCTCAGAGCTGCCAGACAGATTTTAAAAGGGGTGAAATTTAAAAGTGGGGAGATGATTTCGATTCCCCAAGTTGTGATTTGTTTATAGTACCATAAAGCCTGGCATGTGGCTTATCTAAGTCCAGCTGGAGGGAAAGAGGTGGTGGATATAAATTCATCCAACAAGAACGATCATGACAACCACCCTGAGTTCACAGAAGAAGGCTACGAATAATTCTCTTTTATATCAATGGAATTTAGACTGCATCTTCTCCTAATGCTCCGTTATGAAATGCCACGTGAAAAGAGCCATCTCCATTTAGGGTTTTTTAGCTTTTTGTGAGGAAAGAACCATCTTTGTGAACTCCTTTAACAGACAATTGTAAGGTTTCTCAAAGAAAGGCAGGCCTTAGCCTGACTATAAAAACAAAAGGCAGTTCTGACAGCCATGACGTGTGTTTCTATTCTACAAATGCTCCCTCAGACACCAATGTTTTCCCTGGGTAGCTGCACTTTGACACACTCAGTATTCACAACGGCAGGGAGCCTGTCGGCAGTATTTACACACATAACTGGGGTGAAAGGAGCTAGATTTCACAATGAGGTGCTGCGGTTCATGGCAGCTGGTACCAAGATGCCGTCAGAATTAAAAAAACCGAAGTCCTTTTGTGATTGTCCCTGGTGAGATATCAGGGTTGGTAACCTCTAGTGTTTGAATTGTCATTGACTTCAGTGGAATGGTGTGAAGTCATATCCACCTTTTAAGCTTTGTAAAACTTGTCACCAGTGTGTCAAAAGTGCAAAGCTCACAAGACTAGCCCTTACACAAATCTTAATCAAAATGAAGTTTGCACATAACAGCACTCATGAGGACACTCATGTATTCATTTGCCCATACTGTCAATACAAAAAGCTGTCCATTTTTAACAGCAGAGAGATTCCCATTAGCCTATTGATCATCCGCGCTCCCAAGTGATTGTCCTAACTCAGATTGATTCTGTCAGGTCTGTTTTGGTGAGACAGCACAGAGTTAACATGGCAAGCTAATTAAGCAGCACGAAACTACTATACTAATTAAATGGCCCAATACTTGATGTCAAATACAATCAACCTCTATGGGTTTCATTGGAGAGTTTTATGAAGCGATACATCAAATAAATGGACAGTCTGAAGATGGTCTGAAGTGGAATTACAAAGGACAAAACACTGCTGCAGATTCCAAACATTAGCGTTATGGAGTTAAAAAAATAACTTCTTGGCTTTGACTTTTGTATGCCCAGGCCATAAACGAACTCCCTCAACTCTTGCCGGCCTTGAGACTTTTGATCCAGTTGTTGCCATGACAGCCTCCCATCCTTTATTTCCTATATGTCTGCCTATTTAAGGTCACTTCAGGTCTTCCTCTGTTTCTCTTGTCTTGTATGTTCCATTTTCATTGCAGATTG